TTGTTTTATAGGTCTCCTTACTTTCTATAGTTTGTTTAGTTAAGCCGCAAATGCTTTTGGGAAAAATTATTTTGATAGTTATCCTCACGGTGTTTGATAAGTTTGCGAAAGATATAATTTATTGGGAATAGTAAACAAACATATTGAAAATGAAACGAAAGTAAGACGGACCTTATCTTCAATACGAGACAAAGAACCGTCAATAACAATTAAGACACGAATCCCTTAAAGCGGCTCTTGCAAAGACAGGGAAACATGTCTTACTTAACAAAGGTATGGCTGCCATTTTTACCACTTCAGCGCACTAAGGTAATCAGGCGATAAACCATGTAAATAAGTCAAAACAGAATACTCAGTCTTTTGTGCAACGCAGATATTTGCATTGCAAAAAAATAACATTTATTTGTAGCATTACAAATAAGGAAAAAGAAAAAATCAAAGCGGAACGTGTTATGGCTAACTGGTAGATAAAGTATCTTGGAGTTGAAAAATAATGGTGAATTTGTGTTTGACATTACGGCTACTCCCATAAAGGGTCTATCCTTGAAAACGAAAGCTTTTTTTCGCCTACTTTTGTTACACACACATCACAAGAAGATAGATTTGAGAGCCTGTAAAAATTAAGCTTGTTAGATTTTTTGAACTTTTGCGTTCGAATTCCGTAGGAGCGACAAGGAGAGAGCCCAGAGAACGAGGTTAGGGATAGCTTATTTCATTTCATGATTGTAATGGCGATGTTGAATTCTCTCTTGACAATGCGGTAAACGTTTGCGGACCTCTCCGGAAACCAACTTCTGATTAATTTCAAGCGTTTAATTGGTCTAAAAATAACTTTGGTGAAATTCAAATATCCCAAGGGCAAGACTGGGCAATTTACTCTCTATCCATTATTATCTCTTAGCGTAAGCAGTGACATCCTTCTTCATATTCTCACCATTCATCTCACGTCTGTTAATGTCATCCACAATAATCTCGAATGTTCTCATAACTATCTTGCAAGGAGCAAAGGGAAGGAAGGGAATTTAGTAGGGCGTTGTTATAATGCATTCTAATTTGCTGCTGCTCTTTTACGCCATGCACTATTATATGTTTTGATAAAGCACACATATGTGCCTGCTTCAATTCCTCCGTGGAGTTCCGTTGGCAAAAAACAAAAGGAAGGAACCTGTCTTGGTCTGTGGGTTTAACACTGATTCTGCGCATTAGAGAACCGAGCAATGCGTCCTCGTTTGGAAATAAAGGCGCAGTCTTCAAAACGTTAAAGAGAAGAGGTAACAAATTTCCACTGAAAACATAACCACCCCCTGACACATAGGGGTAAAAATACGGTTCTGGAAACTCCTTTTCAGAGAGAGAGTAGCGACTTTGGTTGTTTCGACGGACTGCCATGTGGTCCTGTCGTCGACCAGCGTATATCGGTTGCGTTCCGTTTATTGTGTGATAGCTGTCAAGCCAATTGAGGAGATTTCCAATATTTACAAAACAATCTTCATCCGTTTTAAGGATGTATGAAGCGCTGCAGTTTTGTACTAATGGCCAATGGATGCTTAAAATCATCTTTTTGTACAAGTTTCGAAATGTATCCTCAAATTTCCTATAACTATGTCTTTGTGAATGGCAGCTTCTTGAGTTACAAGGAAGTTAACCTTTGGGTCGAGACTCTTTGCAATGAGAAATACAGTTTTCCATGATCTGGAAGTAAATGAATCAATGATTAAATGACTCCACGTAAAGCCCTATCCAGTATGATTTTCGCATCGGTGCAAAAGCCATCCGGTATAGTGTCATGATAGAGCGATTTTCGTATGACCTTGAAATGAAAACGCGCGAACAAAACAGAAACAACAAACGAACGAAAATAGAGCGATTTGATTGGTTTATCGAACGGATACAAACGCGCGTGGGTTTTGAGTGGTTAAGCGAACGCTCGGGTGAAAAAACTTCATGCCCAAGAACTTTGTAGAAATCAATCGATACTTTGCTTTGACGTCATACTGCAACACGATTGGCCAATCAAACAATGCCTTCTCCATATTAGGGTTTTCTTTGGCGGGAAAACGAAGAGTCCATGATTTGATCTTTTCATCCATTGGCTGATAAAACAAATAACGAACCCTTACCGAAACCATTCTTCAAAGTCATACGAAAAAATGATAAATAAATAAATAAGAAAACCGTCACACAACTGAATACTAATAGGCTAAGTAAACAAAACAATTTAAAAACAAGCTAGATCGATCGATCAATCAATTTATTGCCCCCGCAAGCAGGGATTCCGCCCAGAAGGCAAAATCCCGAGGAGGCATTCTAGTAGCTCGCTCGTATATAAAGAAAAATACTTACAGTTAAAGTATGAAGTCAAATACCAGAAAAAATCTCGATCTGCTTGAACAGGGAAGCGCGGAATCGTTGGGTAGTGATGACGTTTAAGCCCTGAACAATGCTTAACGCCGCAAAGAAAGAAATGGTTAGGATGACGTAAAGGATCCGAAAGGATCGCTGTGGTTAAATTTGTGGTATTCATTGTACAGTCATACCCGCGATACCCTTTTGCGTTACGTGTTTGTTCAGGGACATTCACTGGAGTAGCAGTTTTGAAAGTATTAAAGCAAAACTAAAATTTTCATCTCTTGCAAACTCACCGACCACGATAGAGAAAATCTCATGTTTGAACGAGATTGTGGACCGAATGACGTCATAAAGAACGGGGCGTAAGTTGTAAGGCGCATATCATACTGCTATGCCGTAAGCACTTGAAAGATTTGCCAGACACGCGTTAACATCCACAAATTAAACGATTCACATTTTTCAGACACAAATAACTTTGGGGCCGTAAATGTACTACTCAGTCCACAAACAAGCAGGCTTTCCTAAGCAAACGAGTGAATCAACCTTGCTTATTAGCAGTGCGATGGAAGGTTACTATACCCTGCGAGTAGAGGCTACATTTTTTTGCAGTAGTAAAGAAAAATAGTGAATAGTAGTTCTTTTCGCACGGCAGCTGGCATCACGGAAATGTTGTGAACGCTGCTCGCAGATAGACAATTACAGAAATTCCCTGAAAATTAAATTCTGTCAAATTCTGTGCTGATGTATGTCCCCCTACGAAGCTTTTTAAAAGGAAAGTATTCTCTTTAATATTGTTTTAGTTTTTTAGAAAAAAATGACAAGAACGCGAATGTGAAAAAAATTTTCGAGACGCCAGAAGTCTTTTGATCACTGGATCTTGCGTTTCCTGCTTTCACCTTTTGTATGTACTGTTGTGTAAAAATCGTGTAAAATATAAATCGCGGGCATATTTCAAAGGGCTACACAAAGACCAAGGATAAAATAGACCGACAACAAACAGAGCGGGTGCAGCCTTAGTGTCAACAGGAGCCTATGGGCTCCTGGTATCAACAATTACTAGTTAGTTTTATGGCGTAGGATAGGATTGCCCCGTTATCCGAGCTCCGGACTCACGTTTAAAACGCTCAAATTATCTGCCAATAAATTCTCACAAAACAAACAAAAGTAGTGCAAATATTTCGAGAATACGCTTCAATTCTTTTTTTTACAGTCAATGTGAGAACAAATTATATGTTAAACATACATTAGGTTACGAAAACGACGTAGCGTTCAGTAAAAAGAAAAAAATTGAATCGCTTTAACATGTATACACTACCTTTCTGCAATATTTTTTTGACGCTGGCCGATAACATTTTGGCTTCTTCCCCACGATAGTCTGATAGCATGTCGACTCATGAAGTTTTCTGGACTTGAGTGTACTTGAATGAGAAGAAACAGATCCCTGCTGCAAACGATGTTCTGCTTTGTAGCGTTTTGCCCAGATAACAGGCTGCGAACTGGTACATTCTGAACATGTCTTGTTCTCTTTTGAAGATGAGTCCTCTCTATTTGGTAAAGTTCTAGTAATTTTGTGTAATCATGTCGAAGAATAGAGAGATGTTTGTTCACTTCACCAGCAATGTCGTCCGTGTCGTAATGTTCAGTTAGCTTTGGATGAGAAAAGCTGAATACTTTGACTTTCTTTTCGAAGGAGACGAACCTTATCTTCAAGACGAGACACAGCACCGTCAACAACAATAAAAAGAGGAATACCTTAAAGGGGCGCTTGCAAAGACGGGGAAACATTTCTTACTTAACAGACGTCTTAACAAAGCTATGGTTGCCGTCTTTACCACTTCAGCGCACTAAGGTAAACGGGCAATAAACCATGTAAATAAGTGAAAACAGAATACTCAGTCTCAGTCTGCGTAACATAGATATTTGCATTACAATACGAACAGGAAATAGCAATATTGAACTACGAGTAATCGGAGCTTACTAAGAAAAGTGAGTTCGATATGTTTGTTAAGTGTACAGGTAGCAGTTGAGGGGGAAGGGTGAGTGGTTATTGCGATAGATTAATTTTTTTTAAAACGTAAGGATTGCTTACAGCGAAACCTTTATTTAAACTGTGTATCGTTATGAAAAAGTTAGGTTGATTAACTGCAACACCTTGAAATTTCAAGACAAACCTATCCTACTTACTGGTCAAAAAGTCCGCGAAGAAGTCCGTAGAAGTTTTTACCAGTTTCTATGGTAGGTTCTTCGTTGGAGAAGGACAATTTATCAAGTACACACCCTCCACATCGAACCTCCACTTAGGCTGGCATTTTTTTCATTTATTGACCCCGCCTCTCTTTGGCGCGCTGAATCTTCCGGAAGTCAACCAGTTTACCGGAAACTGTTTACGCATGGTCCGCATAGTTCTAAAAATAACTTTTTTGAAAAGGCGTGACTTGGAGACTCCCTCTCTGTCCTATTATGGCTCTTGTTGACTTACAATTGTAACTTAATTTACAAGCCAGGGCAAGACTCGAGGAATTTACATTTTGAGATAGCTGATGATAAGAGCAAAAAGTGGAAAAGAAAACTGTCAGTAGTTACAGAACATGATACATTATTTTAAAGCGGTATCTAGGAACTAAACTACAAGCGTTTTCCTGTTAGTTGCTATCTCTTAAAAGATTTTACACTGCGACGGTGACATGTGCAATATATACAAGATAATCGGCCTGAGCTTGAGGCTTTCTTAAAAATACTGTGATGACCGAGCCTGAATTTTGAATTTATTAAAAGCCAGCGCTCGATTTACCAAAGGTGAAATTGCTTCAGGGAAATTTCAAAGAACAAAAGAATTCCCCATGAAAGTTCTCGAGGTCATAGTAACTAAACTTTGCTAAGACAGTTCTATTTGAAGCCCATTTGAAGATTGAAACTGGTATTACTGCCGCCGTGCTATTTGTCAACTAAATATTACTCGAGTGCGCGTCAGTTTTAGCGAAAAGAAGCTCATTATCTGAAGAAATGAAAATATGGTCAAACCAGATGCATATAACTTGGGAAACCCTGGAATAAAATTGCCTCTGATTGGTTTCAGCAAAAAAACAATTAAAATTTTTCTGATTGGTCCATTCAAGTTCGCATGACAGTTGGTGAACGTGCAGCGTGGCATCGGGTTTTCCTAGAAATGTTGAAGTCAGAGAAACACGCCCAGCCGATTCTTGATTTCAGCGATTCCAAAACAACGCTTGCACGACTAGTTAGACAGAATAATTGGATTCCCCCGGCCAATTTTCAAATAAAATACATCAGCTACATATCGAAAATTGACCAATGAAGAGATTTAAATGTGAAAAATTAAAATAAAAAGACACCGACTTTTCCAGCTATAATTTAAGAAGCATGACACATTACTGATTTTTCTTTGACTTCCACGTTATCGTATTCACACGAAGTAGCAGAGTATGAATCAAAAGTTTAGCTTCCTAAACGACTGGTATATTATCCTGCCGTCTACCCGCGTATATCGATTGGGTTCCTTTGGAAGGAAAAGGAGAGAGTCCTGGGAACAAGGTTAGGGATCGTTGGGGATTGGGGATGGCTTATTTTATTTTATTTAACTCCTCGCCAATGCACATGACATAATACAAGAAGTACATAGAATTAACCACGGGCAGTGCCAGAACTACCGCAGCCTTTTATGGCAAGTCCAACTTAAGCGTAACTAAAAGCGTAAAGTTTGCATACCTCTCCAGAAACCAACTTCTGATTAATTTTAAGCGTTTAATTAGTCTGAGAATAACTTTGGTGAAATTTGAATTTATCCCAAGGGCCAGACTGGGCGTTGCACTCTCTATCTATTATTATCTCTTAGCGTAAGCAGTGACATCCTTTTTCATACTCTCACCATTCATCTCACTCTTGAAGTCGTCCACATTTATCTCGAATGTTCTCATATCTATCTTGCAAGGAGCAAAGAGAAGGAAGGGAATTTAGAAGGGCGTTATAAAAATGTATTTTAAGTTGCTGTTGCCCTTCAACGCCATGTACTATAATTTGTCTTGACAAAGCACACATTTGTGTCTCTATAAGTTCGTCTCGGGAGTTCCCTTCGCAAAATATGAAAGGGATAAACTTGACATGGTCTGCCGGTTCAACTCCGATTCTATGCATTAAAGAACCAAGCAACGCGTCCTCGTTTGGAAATAAGGGTGCGGTCTTTGAAACGTTAACAAGAAGAGGTAACAAAATGCCACTGAACACATAACCTCCCCCAGACACATAGGGGTAAAAATACGGCTCTGGAAACTCCTTTTCAGAGACATAGTAGCGATCTTCTATGTCCCTAATGACCGGCATATCATCCTGCCGTCGACCTGCGTATATCGGTTGCGTTCCGTTTGTTATGTGATATCTGTCAAGCAGGTTAAGGAGGTTTCGAATATTAACAAAACAATCTTCATCCGTTTTAAGGATATATGAGGCGCTGCATTTTTCTTCCAGTGGCCAAGAGATGCTTAAAATCATCTTCTTGTACAAGTTTCGAAAAGTATCGTTAAACTTTCCCATGACGGTGTCTTTGTGAATGGCAGCCTCTCGAGTTACCAAAAAATTTGTCTTGGGATCAGAACTCCTTCCAACGAGAAATACAATTTTCCATGACCTAGAAATAAATAAATAAATCAAGGATAAATGACTCGATCCACCACTATTAGTTAGCTGAACATTTTGTGTGGCAGAAGGAGAAAAGAAAGTCTTCATCGAGAAACCAAAATCGAGCAAGCGAAAGAAAGGCGTCTCTGCTGGCAAACTGGCAGGCGAAAGAGTACCTGAAAAATTCTAGGGAACGTTTTGTTTTATATATACCGTAAATGAATAAATAAACGAATGAATGACTCAACCCACACACGGCCAGTCCGCTGTACCTTTTTTGTGGCATCCCTGCTAACCTGGTAGATAAGCCTCCTTTTGCTTTCTTGATTGAGGAGGAGAAAAGATTAAGAGTCGGCTTTCTCGAGTAACCAAAATCGAGCAAACGAAATTAAGGCTTTGCCACAAATCAGACCGGCGGTTCAAAGTTGGAGGACGTGGAGTACCCGAACATTCTAGGGAACGTTTAGTCTCTAGCTTTTACACAGACTGAAATTTTTAGGAGACCCTTTTAACCAATAATCGCAATATCCGAAAATCTTAGAGTGATTTTACTAAACCTGTGAAACAGTATCTAACATTTAGTGCCAAATAGTTACAAATAAACAAAAGAAAACATTAAAATAAGAGTCCTAAATACATTGCTGATCTTTTCCAGAGGACAGATACCAAATATCCACTGAGGAACAAGGAATTTGTAATGTGTAGATTTAATACGATTAAACATGGGAAGCATTCTATTAGGTATATTGGCCCTAAGTTATGGAATCTACTGCCCAAAAAGATCAGGGACCTTCCTACGCTATCTGTGTTCAAGCAGCATATTCTACACCTTGACCTAAATTCCTTGCCGACGCTCAGTGCTTAAATTGCACTCTATGTGGTGCGTAACCACTACTATTTTTACTAAGCTCATACGCACTTTTTTGATTTATTAATTATACACATGCAATAATCTTATAAATTTTAGACTTCGGTCTATAGTCAATAACGATACACTCGTAAATAGTTTTAATTCGATTTTAACTGCTACAATAATTGCTTATTTTAATTTATAGTGTCCCCATTTAGTTTTTCCTCTACCCCGGGTTCCTCTACTGCTATGTTAGTTTGCCACTTAAATAAAGGTATTGATTGATTGGTCTGCTTGATTGAGCAAGGGCTAAGTAAGATCTCTCCCCCTAGCAACCGGTAAGTTAGTAGAAAACCTCTGAAAAATCTCAGACGAATGGAACGGTTAGTTATTCGGAAATTTTGACTTTTCGCGAGGTTAAGAAATTTACCTGTCAATATTTGCTCTTTAATTTCAAACAGTACAGAAAAAAAAAAAACCGTTGGGGTCAGGTACCAGTATCACCCTCACGTGCGAAGTATATTGTGTTGCGCAACGGGTTTTATTTACAGTACACTATCTGTAAACACAATACAATTTTATGTTTTTAACTTAACCATATAAAATTTTTCCTTTCTCTGAACGGCAAAACTAGCCAACAAAACGAAAAAACCTGCGGTAGCTAAAGCAAAATGTTCAACGGTAATGACAGTTCGATGAACGGTACATGTAATATGTATGTACAGTATTCAGCACAAAAGACATAAACTAAACCGCTAAAAAATATTATGAACAAATTCTTTCCTTTTTAAATAACAAAACCTAGCGAAAACAAAAACAGCACTGGGCTTTATTTAAGAATAATACAAGAATATTTTCAGCCTAAAATCGGCAGAAAAATAAGAATATTCAGCCTGGGCCGAAAGAACAACATTCTTATAAAAAAAAAGAGTGTATATGAAATTAAAACAAAGCTATAAATGGTAATTATTGTTTAAAGGGTCAGCCTAAAGAGAATTGCATACTAAGTAAAATCTGAGTTACAATTAAAGATTTGTTACCTTTTTGGAAAATTTCCTTGGCCAATAAAATGTTTCATATTTCCCCATGATAGCCTGATGGCAAGTCGATTCATGAAGTTCTCTGGACTCGAGTGTACTTGAATGAGGAGGAAAAGATCCTTGCTGCAAACCACATTTTGTTTTCCAACATTTCTTCTAGATTTCAGTCTAAGTAATGGCGTTTTCTGGACAATTCTAACCTTCTTACGAAATCTGGTCCCCTCTGCCTGATAGAGGTTGAGCAATTTCGTTAAATCTTGTCGAAGAAGGGAGAAATGTTTGTTCACTTCCGCACCAGCAATGTCCGTGTTGTTATATTCGTGATTATGTTTTGTTAGCTTTGGATAAATGTTGAGTTCTTTGACTTCGTTCTTCCTCTTCACAAAGACTGAGACGGAACGTATCATGAAGAAGAGACCGAGAATCGTCAACAACAACAGCAAAACGAACGGCTTCAAGCGCTTGCAAAGATGGAGAAACATTTCCCACTTACAACGCTACGTGGATGGACTGCCGCCGTTTTTATTTAACAGCTGATTCAAAACAGGTTGCTTTGGGCATTGGGAAGTTATTGTTTGGTGATCACTCAAGTAAATCATTGCATTGTTCAATATGCTAAAGTGCTCAATGTCCAATTACCAATGACCAATTACCAAAGTAACCTTTTTTGATTTAGCTGTATACTTGAGTACACTTAGCTAAACGTGCACTGAGCCATGTTACAAAACGGAAAAGTCGGACAAATACGTAGATATTTGCATTACAACTTTAGCAATATCAGTAACCTTTATATTTACAAGCCAGGGTCAGACTTGAGGAATTTACATTTTGAGGTAGCTGATGACAAGTGCAAAAACTGAAAACTGTCAGTAGTTACAGAAGATGATACATTATGTATGAGCGAAGTCTAGGAACTAAATTACTAAGTAATTATTATTGTGGCAGGTTTAATGAAATCAAATCTAACAGAATCACAACACATCGATATATGTAAACCGGTTAACCTACTGAATAAAGAATGGGGCGAGGAAAATCCGCCACAAACTACACAACTAAGTAAGAAAATGAAAAAAGAAGAAATAGGAAATACCGTGAACAATAATAACCCGCAGGCAGATGAAAGGGAGGAGGAGGGAAAGATTTTGCTCGAGATCTGACCGAGTTGATGACGAGGGGGAGAAGGAAGAATTACTGGGAAAATACCTCGACATACTTACTTTACCCTGACACCGCCCTATAACCTCATTGGCTAGATTTGCGGTATCTGGTACAGCCTGACCTAGCGAGTTATCATGTGGGCACCATGCCTTGCCATAAATTACATTATGTCTGCTATAATGTCTAGTTTTTTAAGCGATGTCTAGGAAGTAAATTACTTACGTTTCCTGTTAGTTTCTGTCTATTAAAGATAGATTTTACATAGTGGTGGTGACATGCGCAATATATAAAGGATAATCGGTCTGAGCTCTGAGGCTGCCCTGATTATATGTCTACAATAGTGCGCGCGCTCTGGTTGGCTGTTATCGTGTAATCGCCGTGCATTACTATACTACAGTCTCAGACAACAATAGTTGGGACACTTCCACCTAAACGCCGTTTTTTTTTTTACTTCTGGCCCGTCTCCTCGTCCTCCCAATGTTGTTTATCAAAGTTAACTCACCAAATCTTGTCCACCAACATTGGGAGGGCACGAAGACGGCAAAGTGTCCCAACAATTTTGACTGAGACTGTAGCTAGCTGTCCAAGGCATATGCAGTCTGTGTTTAACTAAATAGTGGACAGCCTTATGGACATCCATGTTATGGTCAATTGACAGCTGTCACAAATGGTATCCGCTGACACGTGTCACCTGACTGTATCGCAGGCCCAAGCGTACAAACTCATTAAGGTGACGTGTTTTTTTAAATTTATTAAAAGCCAGCGCTCGATTTTCCAAAGGGAAAATTGCCCCGGGGAAATTTCAAAGAACAAAAGAATTCCCCATAAAAGTTCCTGAGGTCATTGTAACTAAACTTTACTCAAGAAAGTTCTAAGTATTCAAAAATTGAATTGGTGTTACTGCCGTCGTGTTATTTGTCAACAGAATATTACTCGAGTGCGCGTCAGTTTTAGCAAAACGGAGCTCATTATCTGAAGAAATTAAAATATGGTCAAACCAAAAAGCATATAACTTATATGGCCAAACTAATCCTAAACGGCTTCTCGGCTAAACTAATCCAGATTAAATAATTTTCTCTTGATCTTTTATAGATCCTTGTCCATGTGTCCCTTTATTGAAATAAAATAACAACAACAACAAGAAATTCAAAATCTTAGACGTTTGACCGGCGGATTGAGCACGAAAGACTTCGCCAACCTGTTCTTCTCTGCAGTGGCGTATTCAGTGTCGTAAGGGGTATTCATTTAGTGTAGGGAATAGCCACTGATTTGCCTAGACCGATTACATTTCAATGGAACGCAAACAATATAACTGTACTGAAGTTTTTATTTGTCGTATTCGCAACGATCTCGCATCTCGTCGTCGCTGTCTGGCAGTCTCAAACAGAGCGAAGAAACAGAGCTGAATAATACGCTATTGAAGTGCATTTTAAGTTGTTCTTTCCCTTTCACGCCATGCAGTATAAACTGTTTTGATATACTGCACATACGCTCCTCTCGAATCTTGTGAGCACGTTCACAGTACACCAGAGGAATAATCTTGGTATTATCTGTTGGCTCCACTCCGATTCTACGCATGAGCGAACCAAATAATGCGTCCTCGTTTGGGAATAACGGCGCGGTTTTTGAAACATTGGAAAGAAGAGGCAATAATGTTCCACTGAAAACGTAACCACCTCCTGAAGCGTACGGGTAAAATTCTTCTTCAGGGAATTCCTCTTCAGACAGATAGTAGCGATTTTCCTTGTCCCGAACGACTGGCATATTATCCTGCCTTCGACCGGCGTATATCGGTTGTGTTCCATTTGTAATTATGTGATATCTGTCAAGCCAATTAAGGATATTTCCAATATTAACAAAACAATCTTCATCTGTTTTAAGGATGTATGAAGTACTGCAGTTTTCTTCCATTGGCCAAGTAAGACCCCAGATCATCTTTTTGTATAAGTTTCGAAATGTGTCCTCGAACGTTCCTATAACGATGTCCTTGTAAATGGTAGCTTCCTGAACTACAAGACGATCTGTCGTTGGATCCAAACTCTTGCCAACGATAAATACAGTTTTCCAAACCCTGTTGAAAATATATGAAAGAATTGCATGTTGTATATACATAATACGGTAAGCTGCAAGCCCCCGGCTAATACACCTAAGTCTCCTGCAAATGCTAGTAAAGATATAATTTCTTATGAAGTAAAACGAGGACATTGTGGAATAATTATTGTAAAAAGAGAACAATGATTACGAGAGGTTTAGTCTCCTTCATCAAAAGAGAATGAATAGGCCTCATTCCCTTTGTTTCATTGGTTACAAATATATTAATTTTAAGTTTTAGTTTTATAGATCCTTGTGAAAAGATCTTTCGGACTTCGTCGTTACATGTAACATAGTTTCCAGTTTCCCCTGTTTTTCTCAAGCGGGGAAGAGAGAGGGCCCTGGGAATAAGGTTGACACCATTAATTATTAGATGTTCCACGCATAATGGCGCCAATATTTCCGCCGATAAATTAACGAAGGTCTAGATCAGAAATGCGAAAAAAATCTAAATTGAGAAAATGGCGGCAAGTTCTGCACAAGCTTCAGGATGATCACTGCATTAAAGTGAAAGAATTATTTGAATTTTCATTTCTACTAAAGATGATTAACCAATAATTGAAAGGGCTTAAATAAGAGGCTTATTTCTTCTGCTCTCAAGCAATTTACACTGTTTATAATCACTGAGATAATAATCGTAACCCCCGGGGGCACTCCGCATATGAAAGGGGTGGGAATGCTCGTCGGGAATTTTGAATTAAACCCCTATAGGAGACCTATCTGGGCGTGGCCCAAGCTTTTTTTGACCCCTAAAAGAGACCATGTTAAAACACAGGCAATATATATATTTTTATATTTTTTCACGTGCAACCCTAAACGAGACCTTCACGGCTAAATATGATGGTGTTTTGCCCAGAACACCCTAAGTGAGACCAAAATCCGAAATTTACACCCCTAAGCGAGACGACGAGCATCCCCACCCCTTTCATATGCGGAGTCCCCCCCCGCCCCCGGGTCGTAACCTAACCTTCGAACAATCACTCCTTGTCGATGGCCGATAAAGTGTTCCAAATTTCCCCATGAGAGCCTAATGGCATGTCGCTTCATAAAGTTATTTGGACTGGAGTGGACTTGAATGAGAAGGAAAATATCACTACTACCGCAAACAACACTCTGCTTGAAAACTTCTCCTGATCCGCCAGATGCCAGTTTGGTTTGGTTGTTAAGCAGAGTAATCTTCGCTTCACGATCCAGACTTTTTTCCATGTTTGTGCGTTCATTTTCATATTGTTCCACCAATTGCTTGAAATGGTTAGCCAAGAGTGAAAGGTGTTGGCCTGTGTTAGCTTGGAAATATAAGGCGTTTCTTGTCAAATTGTGTCCAAAATAAACCCTTTCTTCGTTTCCATGGTACGGAAAAAAGACAGAGTAGACAATGTAGAGAAGGCCAACAAATAAAAAAGACACCAACGAACGCAGCGACCTCAAGCGTTTGGGAAAATAAAACGACATTACTAGAAACAATTAACAGTGACTTGTTCCGTCAATTGCGATATGTTAACAGGTTATGAGACGTCACAGCTTAATAACTTATTCGTTAAACGTTTGCACTTCAGAGTTATACCACTGAAAATTTTAACGAAGATTATCCGATTTGTCAGTGAAAATTTAACAAAAGAGAAACTGGCGGACACGCCTTTGGGCTGAGAAGAGTCCATGATTGTCAGACCAGAGGAAAAAAATTAAAGATGCAAGGAAAGTTCACGCTTGTGTCTTCCATTCTAATTTCCAGGAAAATAGCCGCTTGCAGTAACATCCTGATCTGACATATCTTGGTGTTCAAGATATTATTCTCTAGAAAACCACCGAGATCATTTTACTCAGTTCTGCTCCGCTTAGCAATCATGCCATTTTTGTATCGTCACCGACGTCAGAGGCATTGAACACTATATTAAGAAGTCTATATGGCTAATTTTAATTCCACCTATACTACCTAGTGACAAAAACCTGTTGAGTGTAGACTTTGTACCTAGACACTTGTTGTAGCGCGCTGATAAGCAATAGATTCTCTTCACAGCCAAGTCTCTTTCCTGTATATAATTCCGTAGGATGCTGGTCGAACTTTCAAATCCCTGTGGGGACTGGCTGTGTTGCTTATAGATTTTTATTTTCGCTTTTCCAAGACCTTGTGGAAAAGTGCTCTTTCTCTTTATCAAATTTTCGATAGAGCCGTTAAATCGACATGCGAAAATCTACTATCAGCCACTGTTCTTCAAAGAGCCATTTCGTTTTATACTTCGGGACATGCACGAGCCAAAGAAACTAAAATCAAACTAGCATTATTTGGAGAGCTGAGGGTGACCCTTGACAGTTTGAAGAACTCATCACCTGTGACTCCTACTAAATGGAGAAACTTTCCCGATCAAACTGACAAATCCAATTTGAAACGTTGGTTCAAAAATTGCACTACCAATTAAGCTAACAAGCCAACTGGGAGCAGGTCGTTAAATTGGTTCGTGATAAAGCCGTGAAAGGATTTTCATATATTCATAATTTCATCATTATCCTTTCACGGGTTTATCACGAACCAATTCAACGACCTGCTCCCAGTTGGCTTGTTAGCTTAATTGGTAGAGCACTGCATCGGTATCGCAGAGGTCAAGGGTTCGAATCCCGTAAAAGCCTGAATTTTTTTCAGCTTTTAGACTGCAAAACAGTCGGTTTTTTTCTCATAACAGTAAACGAAACGGTAAAGTGTGGCGTAACAGTTCTCGCCCTCTGTTTTTAGCCTCGTTCCAGACGTTTTGTTTGACTGCTCGCGCGTATTTGAGTACGCAAAACTACGGACTGTTTTGCAGTCTAGCTTTCTTTTCGCAACTGCATAAGCTGCGTATACAATGATCGTCCTTCAAATAATTCTTCACTCCGCAGTTCACATAT